ATGTGGTCGCGTACCTTATTATCAAGTTTACCCTTTCTTTGGGGGGCCATTATAATTGTTTTCAGCTTATTATGTAATTGTAAATGTTTATAAAAATGCTATTATAATTGTTAATGTTTCATCGCCTGAGCTGTCCAGTGTCCTGAGACTTTTCTCTTTATTTAAAAATATACCAACGGAGACACGGCGAGTAAATGAATATATTATGGATGGGTGTAGATAAATGGGCTGGACATTAGTAACAGTAATGCGGACTATAATGACTAATAGAATAAATATATTTGTTAATACCACATTACATTCCCGGCGAGCCTCTCCCTCGCTCTCCTTCTCTCCTTCCCTCCTTCTCTCCTTCTCTCCTTCTCTCCTTCTCTCTCCTTCTCTTCTTCTCTCCTTCTCTCTCCTTCTCTCCTTCTCTCTCCTTCCCTCCTTCTCTCTCTTTCTCTTCTTCTCTCCTTCTCTCTCCTTCTCTCCTTCTCTCTCCTTCTCTCCTTCTCTCTCCTTCTCTTCTTCTCTCCTTCTCTCCTTCTCTCTCCTTCTCTCTCCTTCTCTCTCCTTCTCTCTCCTTCTTTCCTTCTCTCTCCTTCTCTCCTTCTCTCTCCTTCTCTCTCCTTCTCTCCTTCTCTCTCCTTCTCTCTCCTTCTCTCCTTCTCTCTCCTTTTCTTCTTCTCTCCTTCTCTCTTTCTCTCTCCTTCTCTCCTTCTCTCTCTTTCTCTCTCCTTCTCTTCTTCTCTCCTTCTCTCTCCTTCTTTCCTTCTCTCTCCTTCTCTCTCCTTCTCTCTCCCTCGCTCTCCTTCTCTCTCCTTCTCTCCCTCGCTCTCCTTCTCTCCTTCTCTCTCCCTCGCTCTCCTTCTCTCATTCTCTCTCGAGTATAGAATTACTGAAGGTGACAAGTTGTCCTACGTTTCTTTGTGTGTTGTGTGTTGTGAAGTTTTTATCCATTCTCCAGGACGTGGTGTTGAAAATTAGCGTACTTTGGCACGAGTTTTAGTGAGGTCTCTAAGTGTCTTATACGGTACAGTGGGAATATGTTATGTTGTGTGGTCGCCACTTCTATCATATATTATCGTGTACTGTTATTGTATTGTAGTTGTACTTCTCTACTTTACTCGGTTATTAAAGGTATTTTGTTTGTAGTTTCTTATCAGAGGGAGAGAATGAACTCGAGTACAACAAATTATGCAAAGTGATAATATTACAAGTAATATTTAATTTAAAATAATAATATAGGATATACAGATAATGTTTGTTACACTGAGGAACCGTGTGCTAGAGAGCGGGCACGTGTATATGTAATGAGACATGATAGGAAGAATTAAAATTTGTTGACAGCAGCCGTCATTTTAAAGTTTGGATTGCGGTTTAGGTCGAGGCTGTATGACCTTTTATTTCGAGTTATTGTCGACGTGATATTCTCGCCTTGTTTTATCCTTACTTACTGACACTACTTACTTATGTTTAAACAGGGCAATCAGTGATTTTCTAAATTGTTTTCTCCTTTCTTTGTTTCATCATGCCTGAAAATAGCAAGCCAGATATCTTACCATAATGAGGTGTGTAAGGAGTGTAATTATGAAGCCGCTAATCAGTCTATAATGCAGAGAGGTAGAGCTCTCCTCCTCCTCCTCCTCCTCCTCCTCCTCCTCCTCCTCCTCCTCCTCCTCCTCCTCCTCCTCCTCCTCCTCCTCCTCCTCCTCCTCCTCCTCCTCCTCCTCCTCCTCCTCCTCCTCCTCCTCCTCCTCCTCCTCCTCCTCCTCCTCCTCCTCCTCCTCCTCCTCCTCCTCCTACTCCTCCCCTCCTCCTCCTCCTCCTCCTCCTCCTCCTCCTCCTCCTCCTCCTCCTCCTCCTCCTCCTCCTCCTCCTCCTCCTCCTCCCCCTTCTCTCTGGACTCTGAGTACTTGTACTAGGTGGAGACTAGAACACTGGTTACCTTCCAGTCAATCTAGTTAACTTAATCTCCACCTAGTGTGAATTAACATATTTCACGACGATGTAATAGGTATTAGGTAATAGGTATTTAGGGTGGGATCACGGAAATAAGTGAGCTAGAATAATCTGTTTTATTGCTGCGAACTGGTGTCGTCTGGTACCCATGATACAGTTGAAACCAATTTTATTATGTAATAATAAACTTATCTGTTGAAATTTGAGTTACTGTGCTGATAAATGTGTAACAACCTAAAACTTTTAAAATTATATATTTTAGTCCTGTGAAGTCATGACACTTATTTTTTACAAATTTACCACTCAAATCATATAATCCGGATGTTATACAAACACACAGTGGTCATTGTCATGACAACATTTCTTTTCTACTATGATGATTGTGATTCTGAGACTCTTCTAGACTCGGCAACAATAGCAGGATTGTAGCTCTGCTCTTGGTGCTGTACAACTACAAAGATATAAAGATAGTGATTTTATCATATTGTATCCCGGAAATTATCACTTGAAATGATGGCATTATTTTCGAAATACCCTGTATGATTTAGTGTTGTCCCGTATGAAGTAATATATTCACTATTCAGGACTCTTCCTTTATCTTTCTAAATGTCATGCTAGTTTCTCAACTCTCTGTCATCTGGAGCAGTTACTCGGAGTACAGTTACTCGGTCAAACTTCGGAAGCTTTTCGAGTTGCTGAGGAGCAATATCGCAGATTCCTGGCTATTCGAGTTGCTGAGGAGCAATATTCGAGTTGCTGAGAAGCAATATCGCAGATTCCTGGCTATTCGAGTTGCTGAGGAGCAATATCGCAGAGTTGCTGAGGAGCAATATTGGGCAGTATCTAGATATATCGCAGATTCCTGGCTTTACGAGTTGCTGAGGAGCAATATTCGAGTTGCTGAGGAGCAATATTCGAGTTGCTGAGGAGCAATATTCGAGTTGTTGAGGAGCAATGTTCGAGTTGCTGAGGAGCAATATCGCTGAGTTGCTGAGGAGCAATATCGCAGAGTTGCTGAGGAGCAATATCGGGCAGTATCTAGATATATCGCAGATTCCTGGCTGTCAAAAGACACTTTTAGTTGTCTGTCAGTTTTCAGATTTCTTCATTACAGCCCTTTGACATTCCTTCGCCGCTGATTTTCTGCCAGCATTTTTCTGCCAACGTCGCTGAACACCATCACCGAACATTTGATTTAGTTTAAAAGTTTTGGTCTCTAGATGGAACAAACGTTACCTGTTATCCTCTGTGCTGAATTAGTTTCTACTTGAGCTTGGTTACAGTTTTCTGATCGCCAATCACATCAGACCTAGCCTCCTGACCTAGGCTCCTGACCTAGGCTCCTGAATTAGGCTCCTGACCTAGGCTCCTGACCTAGGCTCCTGACCTAGGCTCCTGACCTAGGCTCCTGACCTAGGCTCCTGACCTAGGCTCCTGACCTAGGCTCCTGAATTAGGCTCCTGCTGATGTAATAGTTATTTGACTCTAAAGAACACTCTGACAAGATTTAAAAGAGCAACTCATTCGGCTCACATCTTATTTCTGATCAGTGCTATTTCTCACTGTTATCAGTGGTGGAGAACTAAAGATACCAAGTGTACAAGGTTCGCACTGCAGTGGTGGGGAACTAAAGATACCAAGTGTACAAGGTTCGCACTGTGGTGGGGAACTAAAGATACCAAGTGTACAAGGTTCGCACTGTGGTGGGGAACTAAAGATACCAAGTGTACAAGGTTCGCACTGTGGTGGGGAACTAAAGATACCAAGTGTACAAGGTTCGCACTGCAGTGGTGGGGAACTAAAGATACCAAGTGTACAAGATTCGCACTGTGGTGGGGAACTAAAGATACCAAGTGTACAAGGTTCGCACTGTGGTGGGGAACTAAAGATACCAAGTGTACAAGGTTCGCACTGTGGTGGGGAACTAAAGATACCAAGTGTACAAGGTTCGCACTGCAGTGGTGGGGAACTAAAGATACCAAGTGTACAAGATTCGCACTGTGGTGGGGAACTAAAGATACCAAGTGTACAAGGTTCGCACTGTGGTGGGGAACTAAAGATACCAAGTGTACAAGGTTCGCACTGTGGTGGGGAACTAAAGATACCAAGTGTACAAGGTTCGCACTGCAGTGGTGGGGAACTAAAGATACCAAGTGTACAAGATTCGCACTGTGGTGGGGAACTAAAGATACCAAGTGTACAAGGTTCGCACTGTGGTGGGGAACTAAAGATACCAAGTGTACAAGGTTCGCACTGTGGTGGGGAACTAAAGATACCAAGTGTACAAGGTTCGCACTGTGGTGGGGAACTAAAGATACCAAGTGTACAAGGTTCGCACTGTGGTGGGGAACTAAAGATACCAAGTGTACAAGGTTCGCACTGTGGTGGGGAACTAAAGATACCAAGTGTACAAGGTTCGCACTGTGGTGGGGAACTAAAGATACCAAGTGTACAAGGTTCGCACTGTGGTGGAGAACTAAAGATACCAAGTGTACAAGGTTCGCACTGTGGTGGGGAACTAAAGATACCAAGTGTACAAGGTTCGCACTGTGGTGGGGAACTAAAGATACCAAGTGTACAAGGTTCGCACTGTGGAGGGGAACTAAAGATACCAAGTGTACAAGGTTCGCACTGTGGTGGGGAACTAAAGATACCAAGTGTACAAGGTTCGCACTGTGGTGGGGAACTAAAGATACCAAGTGTACAAGGTTCGCACTGTGGTGGGGAACTAAAGATACCAAGTGTACAAGGTTCGCACTGTGGTGGGGAACTAAAGATACCAAGTGTACAAGGTTCGCACTGTGGTGGGGAACTAAAGATACCAAGTGTACAAGGTTCGCACTGTGGTGGGGAACTAAAGATACCAAGTGTACAAGGTTCGCACTGTGGTGGAGAACTAAAGATACCAATTTAGGTGATAAAATAATGGTCGAGTGTACACTGTACAGTAGGTTCATTAGCATTTTCCTTTCGTTTTCGATACGAGTATTCAATGAGCGTTTATTTGGGGTTTATTCAGTTACTTATTAGCCGATTAATTAACCGATTATTATTTTAAGCTATGTGTAATGGGGTGTCGGACAGTTAGCTCAGGGAACAAGATTACAAACTGCGGGAGTTGTGGGGAAGTGTTGCTAGGTGACGCTATCAAGGTAGCAGCTAATCTTCATTATCACATACATTGTTTCACCTGCTCAGAGTGTGGCTGTGAGCTCGTCAATACTGGATTCTTTACTAAGGTACGCCGCCTTTATTATCTACTTTTCTTATTATCTACTTTTCTCTACGGTGTTAATTTTCATTATATCTATATTATACAGATTATTCATCAGCTGTTTGCCGAGTATAATGAACCGAATGTATGCTTATCTACGTAATAAATAACCGTTGGAATTGTTAGCACTGATTTGTCTTTAAACAATCAGATCAATATTTTATTCAATCTTTTATCAATCTTTAATTAATCTTTTATTAACTTTTTATCAATCTTTTGTCAATCTTTTATCAACATTTTATCAATCTTTAATTAATCTTTTTATCAATCTTTTATCAATCTTTTGCCAATCTTTTATCAATATTTTATCAATCTTTAATTAATCTTTTATCAATCTTTTATCAATCTTTAATTAATCTTTTATCAATCTTTTATCAATCTTTTATCAATCTTTTATCAATCTTTTATCAATCTTTTATCAATCTTTTATCACTCTTTTATCAATCTTTTATCAATCTTTTATATTTTATAGAGTCATATCATAATATCAATATTTCATTTATGCTCCAGATAAATCTTAAATTATGCATGCTGATGATTAGGGGGGGGGGGGGGGGGGAGGGGGGATTAGGGGCAATTTTATTTATTATGCTTCGAACTTAATAATCCACGCTTGTCCTAACTTCTAAGTAAGACGGGAGCCCTTGAAAGGTGTACAGTTATAAATAACATTGATCACGTGATCAGTTGCCTGGTTACAGAGAGAGGGTGCACTCAGGGGTGTGCGCAGGGGGGAGGCGGTGCACTCAGTTTATTATACCACCTCCAGTCAAATCCTATATTTGGGCTTAATGAATACAACTGGAGGCAGACAACTGCATTATACTATTATATCAATTTTATATATTGTGTCCGCCTTTTAGGAGGTCGGGCAGCACCTCGCTAAATTAAACTAACAATTAACAATTTCTTGTTTCAGTTAGCGAAATACTACTGCGCGGAAGACTACCACGCTTTATTTGGGACACTATGTACTCTGTGTCAGAAATACATTGAAGGGGAGGGACTGTCCATACAGGGCAAGGGCAAGAGCTACCACATATCATGTCTTACCTGCTCCAAGTTAGTAACATATCATGTCTTACCTGCTCCAAGTTAGTCACATATCATGTCTTACCTGCTCCAAGTTAGTCACATATCATGTCTTACCTGCTCCAAGTTAGTCACATATCATGTCTTACCTGCTCCAAGTTAGTCACATATCATTTCTTACCTGCTCCAAGATAGTCACATATCATGTCTTACCTGCTCCAAGATAGTCACATATCATGTCTTACCTGCTCCAAGATAGTCACATATCATGTCTTACCTGCTCCAAGTTAGTCACATATCATGTCTTACCTGCTCCAAGTTAGTCGCATATCATGTCTTACCTGCTCCAAGTTAGTCGCATATCATGTCTTACCTGCTCCAAGTTAGTAACATATCATGTCTTACCTGCTCCAAGTTAGTCACATATCATGTCTTACCTGCTCCAAGTTAGTCACATATCATGTCTTACCTGCTCCAAGTTAGTCGCATATCATGTCTTACCTGCTCCAAGTTAGTCACATATCATGTCTTACCTGCTCCAAGTTAGTAACATATCATGTCTTACCTGCTCCAAGTTAGTCACATATCATGTCTTACCTGCTCCAAGTTAGTCACATATCATGTCTTACCTGCTCCAAGTTAGTCACATATCATTTCTTACCTGCTCCAAGTTAGTCACATATCATGTCTTACCTGCTCCAAGATAGTCACATATCATGTCTTACCTGCTCCAAGTTAGTCACATATCATGCCTTACCTGCTCCAAGTTAGTAACATATCAGGTTTTGTTCCTTTAAGTGTTATATGGTAGGTGAGCCGCTATGGGATTAATAAATTTATTTTGGATCTATCACATGACTTTATGATCTGTTCAGTGTTCAGGGTCCTAAGGTGAAAATCAATCTAATTACAGGGTTATATAGAATGAAACGTGCTATTTTGTCCATATAAGGAGCTATTGAAAATGAAGTACCTAAAAGAAGTATACATTATGTCCATATAAGGACATAAGAAGTATAAATTATGTCCATATAATATAACGTGTTAAGTATACATTATGCCCATATAAGGTGTTAATTAAAAAGTATAGATTATGCCCATAAAAGGAGTTATTGGATTTAAATATTGATTCGTGTAATAAAATGTTATTCTCGTGAGTTTTGAAAAAAAGAAAGACATTATATATGGATCCCATGACCCCTAGTAAGATATAATTTGTTGACAGAAAATCGTATGTTAATCCTTTTTTACAAACAAAAAATATACAACACAATTACACAAAGTTTAAAAATATATAAAAAATGTTTACTGAATGACATAGTGAACTTGTAAGCTTCATCTCCCTTCTTATAAACTCAAAACATTCTGGATATACCAGAAAATACAGATTAAAAATACGTGTATTACTTCGATTTAAAAAGTACGTGCATGTTCCAGAAATGCTTCAAATCTGTACTTGTAACGGTAAAAATTGGACCCCTAATGATACAAATTGGACCCCTAATGATATCCTACGCGGCCAGGTAATCCACTCTAAAGCCGAAAAGTGCACCCTATGAAAAGTGCACCCTATGCGGCAGGCGGCTCCGGACGCAGCGTCCCCGTAGCTCACTTTTTATTCGATTTTACTAAATTTTCTTGCCTTATATAGATCTAATCGTGCTTAAATTATGAAATTTTTGATGCGACCTTTAACTGGGTTCGCGAAGGGTTTCTCGATGATGAATTCTTACTATTCACTGCAAAATTAGGCACTTAAAAGGCTGTGTATTTCCACACAAAATATCAAAGTCTGATCCTTAAATTTAGATCAGTTAGTGTTCACTGGATCGTGACACATCTAGATCAAAAATAAAAAAGGATCCTATGACTCTACGAAGGAGGTAATCCTAGCGTGTCCTAAGAGCTAATCGTGCAACATCTAACAAAAAATAACCAACACATTTAAACTTTATTTTTATTTCCGATAAGTTTGCGGCGCTTATTTTAATCGGTGTATTAAACTAGCGGCTACTTTTTGATTTCGGCGATCTTTAAAAATTCTGGTATAAAAACGGTCCGTTTTATCGTTGTATCATAACTCTTTAGTCTTTACTTAGGAGAGTTGAATCCAACAAAATGTTAACACTTAGACGTACTTGATAATTATACAACAACAAATTGTTGTTTATCCACTATCAAGTGTCACCGCATTAGTATATGAAATTGTCATAATTCTTTAATTATGTTAACCAATAATTACTATTGAACATTAACTGCGCTATATAGCTAGCACCTCAGACAACATACTGATGACCAAGAATTCCACTTGTCTAGTCCGGTAATACCGAGCACCAAATAAGGAGTTACAAGTTTCAACGGCAACATTTTCTGTTTATTACTATGGATTATTGAAGCAACAAGCTTAATAATCGTTCATTCCTGCAGCAAGGCCAGTATTATAATTATTTAACAAGGAAATGGTCAATGGATGATCATCGTAATTGTTACTCGGCATAATGAACATACTAGTGATATAATGGATTACTATGAAGGCGGAAAGAGTGGGAAAATGTTGGTTTGTGTACCCGGGATAGATAACAATTAACAGTCCTTATAAGCACAATAATAATATATTATAAGGGTAATACTAAATAATAGAGATTATGCACGTGCCATATTATTCGCATGCATAATGGCACCATATATGGTATCCTGATTGTTATCAATCCTGGGTACAGAACCTAAGTTTCCCGCTCTTTCCGCCTCCATTGTGCACAGTTGGCTTTCATTATATCGTTACCTTACCGTAACAGAAAGTAGAACATGAATACCCCAGATGCGGCGGAAGGTTTGACGAAGGTTCCAGAATAACATTTGAGAAAGAGCAGGCACTATGCGACACGTGCAAGGTGACGGGTGTCAAAACACCCACCACCAAACACCTGTGTGCCTCCTGTAATGAGGTGATCGTGGGTACGAGTATATTCGCCATGGAACAGGAGTGGCACATTAAATGTTTCACTTGTCAGGTGGGTTTTAGTAGGCTGGTATTATGTGGTACTTTGTACAATTCTGCTGAAGTAAATCTAAAAGTTTCCTCTCTGATCCCACCATTTCTTTTTAATAATCCGTCGATCTAAAAATCCATAAATTTTGAAAGCTCAGATAATTTTGCAGCTACTGTTGCGTTATAAAAGGTCTGAATTGAACCTGAAGACCCGGACACTGATTACTGATTACGGCGTGACTTACAGGAATGCAAGAAGCCGCTGACTGGCGAATACATGTGTAAAGACGGAGTTCCGTACTGTGAAGAAGATTATCAGACGTTGTACGGCCAGTGCTGTAATATCTGCTCCGAGTTCATTCTTGGCAAGGTTTGTAATATATCATACGTTGCAGATGTTTGTTTTTATATTAGATATATTCCGATTTAATTCTCAGCAAACTTTTCGCGCTAGTATGTGTGTTCGTTTTGATGTTTGCCCTGAATTGGTTCACGGTTGGGGTGTCAAGTTTGTCTGTTTTGATGTGTACCGTTCGACGTTCGTGACCAGCCCGTCAGTACTGATAAGAGTTCATTTCTACAAGGTACATTGCGCTCGTGTATTTGTCTCTTTTACCTTCCTGTACTGTCTGTTCTCACTGTTAGTCGGAATGTTTCCATTTTCTGATCTCCCATCTTTCTCGCAACACAACATGCGTAGCGGAATATTACAATAAATTTGTCAGGAAATTTTAGATCACATGTAATTTGGGGTAGAAGTTGTCGGATAAGTAGTGGCCTCCCAAGCCATAGCACTGCACGTTATAATAATAATATGCAAGTGATGGTACCCAATAATATACGAGCAATACCGTTAACTAATTGTGTGACATATCCTTGACTAAATAATTGATAATTGGCTTTCATCGTCCTCCGTTTCGGCACATTTATTTCTTGTCCGAGACTTGTTTGCCGCCATTAATGGACATAACCTCTGTATATATGTAATAACCTCTGCGTCGGACGGCACTTTTAGTGTGCCGCCATATTTTCTCTACGTCTGTAAACTGTAATAGGCGAGTGCAGGCGTTTCCGCTAATTTTATTTTAGGCAATTGTTTAGTCGTTCTAAAACAGTCCTCGCCCTCATTGTAGTAAGGGAAATTTAAATACTGTGAAACTTGTTGGAAGCGGAATTAGTGGGTGGTTATGAAGCGGCTTGGAGTAGCTAGTCGTTTCTCAGTCCGGTCACGTGCTCTCGGCAATGGAATGAAGTCAGCTGACAGTTCCTTGTCAATTAGCAGTTACCACAATTTATATAGTCAGCTGTTCTTGCACTAAATTAAACATGCATATTTTGTGTCAAGGCTCCTTAATTTGCCCAATTTTGGACTGTCTTTTTCGAGCGACTCCGCCGCAACAGAGTCTCTTTCTACCTGCGACATATTCGTTTCTTGTGTTACATTTTTGTTTCTTGTGCTTAGATTGGTTTGCTTGCTTTAGTTTGGTTTACTTTTTATAATACATATCTAGTTCTACATTAAGGTCAACGTAATAAAATTGTTTATACCAACAAAGGGTTTTCCTAGTTAGTAGTCGGATAGAATATTAGCGCAGATAAGTGTTTGTTAGTCAGTATCTAGTTCTACATTCTACACTGCACGGTCGACGTCAAACTCCGTTAAAAGCTAAATTTTCGTCTACCTAATTAAATTTGCACTGTTGTTGTCAACACGTTGATTGTAAGACAGTCGCAAAAAACATCATCCCCTTACCCTGATCTCCTACGTCACTTGCTAAAGTTTCTCCTCTGAAGAGACGAGTACATCCTGCTACCACCCTGGGAAGGATCCCAGAAGCGCTATATGATCCTGGTGTATTGTTATATAGCATTACAGCTGGTGGTCGGTGTGCGTCATCCTCAGTACGCTCCCGCTCGGCTCGGCTGGCTTGTCATCGCCACTGCACAACGCGACGTTTTACCTCCTGCCCAACTCAGTCTCTCTCAACATGCCAACCATTACACGACCCTCCGAGGTCTATGTTTAGAAATTTTTCTCATTCCATTTCCTCTGCCGAATACCTGAACTAGTCGCATTGTTGGCCAGGTCACCCCTCTGATCTGTCAAACTTTAACTACTCCCATCCCAGTGACAGCTTTTTCCCCTGACATTTTGTGCCCTGTTTCTTTGTTTGTGTGTTGCTTGTTTGCCGTGTGTTACGGACTATGTGTTAGGAAGAATGCACTTGTCTAATTGTACAGTACAGTCTCACCCTGTCTCTCCGCGGGGGTTTTAAGTCTCTTTAGGCGCGAGCCGCGTTCCGCATATCTCGCGAATTAGACTCCTATAATGCTTTCTATTGAAATAGGGTTAGAATAACGTGACCATATATGGGAACGTTTAGCCGGGGGAGTTTATCAGGTGCCAACATTTCAAGTGTCTTCTGTAAGAGGGCTGTCAGAAAGCATGGTCTTCGTCCTGTGTTTCTACTAATTAGCTCAATCAACCACCTCCGTGAGTGTCCGAAGGAACGTAAGCTTAATAGCAATACGAAGCCACACTCGCTGCAGCTAGTATATACTTCGCTTATTTTGATTTTATCGCTTTTTCTGTACGCTGCCTCGGTGCCTGATCCCAATGGAACGCAATGAGATGCGGTCAGTAGTGTCAAACTTGCGTTCTTTGTCATGCCTGGTATTTGATGTAGTATGGTCTCAGGCTACTTGAGCCAGGCCATCACATTTTGAATTTTATCATTTCTCACTTGACTGATTTGCTGTGTTTTGATGGTAGTTTTTTGTTACCTTGGACCTTTTCAATTTTCATAGCCTTTATTGTGTATACTTTATAATTAGTATACTTTATACTTTATACTTTATACTCGTCAGTCTTCACGTGATTATTACTGAAATACCACGCGTTACTAAGAAATACTTTGTACAGTTCTAATGAGGTTGAAATGGGACACAAGCATAGTAAACCCGGTCAGAAACACAAAGTTGTCTTCAACAAGAAGAAGATAAAAAAGGTAAGATCAGCCTCCAATACAATTCTCTCCGTACGTAATCCTTTCCTCAAATCTCCGTTTCCTTCTCGTATTTTTTTACTTTTTTAATAATTGTACTTTGTACCTACCCGCGTTTTTTACTTTCTGGTATGTTTCACATGGTGGTAAGCAAAACATCACGGCAAGTAGGGTGACGAGCCTGTCTTGTTAACGTGAGAGACTGTGATCCTCTGAAGCCTAACAAGTTTTTCATAAAAAAATGTCTGCTAGCAAATGTGCGAAAACATACGATACACTTCAAATATTGTCATTACTGAGGTGATTCGGTTGTCATCGCCCAAACTAAAAAGTGATCTCAGATGGCAAAATTTCCCCAAAATACCCTGTTCTTCATTCCAACATCTTGATCTACGGAAAAACCAAACTTCAAATTTCCATGTGGCACCATAAGTTACAAGGTGGTTCCATAAGTTACAGGGTGGTTCTATAAGTTACAAGGTGGTTCCATAAGTTACAAGGTGGTTCCATAAGTTACAAGGTGGTTCTATAAGTTACAAGGTGGTTCCATAAGTTACAAGGTGGTTCCATAAGTTACAAGGTGGTTCTATAAGTTACAAGGTGGTTCTATAAGTTACAAGGTGATTCCATAAGTTACAAGATGGTTCTATCTCTAGGTTCTCTACAAGATAAGTACCGCTATTTTTATCTCCCGAAATTCCATCCTCCGCGCCCACACCATTCCATGTGCACAGCGCGGAGGCCCTCAAAGCCGGATCGAATAACAATGGAGTAGCACGCTTGTACTAACAGTCTCTCACACTCTCCTTAGTCAACTTGTTCGAATTGGTTGCTGTAGTAATACAGTCAGGCTGTGTGTATTGTGAGCGCCTCGGTTTCTCCGGTGATATGTGTTACACGGGTATCACCGTGTGGGTGTAGAACTTTCTTCTATTGTTTGGATATTTTTACCTAATTGGTTTGTGTTCTCTTCTCTTGTTGAAGAGCCACTGAAAGGCTCTAATTGCACTAAACGAGGGATTGTTTCTGGGGTGTGAATCAAAGAAAAGAAGGCCACCTTGGTGCTGTTTCCCTTGGTTGTTTTGATTGGAGTATGAACAGTGAAACTGCTCATATATTCACAGAAGAAGGTTACCGTCGACGAGAGCGGTTTACCGCAGGAGATTGTGCTAGGGTAGTCCTCAGATGTGTTGGTTTTTACCTCTCCAGATGTTTGAAAAACATGGACTACGAGGTTTCAGACGAAGAAAAACTCAAGTCAGATCCCAAGTATGGACTTTCAATGGCAGCGCTGGAAACGGACGCTATCAGTAGTGATGAGAAATATGTGAAAATTGGAACTACTATCGGAATGAGCAGAGAAGGTATTCCTATCAAGATTATGGATTGAGCACCATGTTACATCCCCTACCCTGAAAATCAGATAACACACCGAAGATTCTAGAAGAACTGAATGGAACGTCAGGATGGACCAGATTATTTTCATATTTGGAATCTAATAATAATGGTCGAACTGGCAAGAAGTGATGCGTAACTTGGGATGCATAAAGACATTGAAGATCAAAGAGAAGTTTGACACTTGATTGATGGTTTTGGCTTTGTGCAGCATTTTATTACAGCCATTATAACGGACCTCGCACGGAAGATACGGAAATTCACAGCATTCTTTTCTTCGACTTCTCTTATGGACGAAAATAGAGAGCTCTTTTGAGATTTATTTAGTGACCTTAACGGGAGAAATTGTCACGGTCTTCCAGAACAATCGATTTGCTGGAATCATACAAGTTCTTTGACAAAGCCATAGTAAAGTCATAATCCTATTCAACTATTGTCGATTATTTTTGACCCTGTAATTATAGTGTCCAGGAGTTAGCAAGATCAGCTGTTAGTGAGACTTTGTTGTACATAATAATAATTGTGCTAAATGGACTGTTTAGGGTGCAGTACGTCATACCAATACTCGATAGTTAATGTAAATTGTGATGTTGAGTACGACATGTTAATGTGTATAGCTTTATAATAGTTATTTTATTTTACTCAATAAATTGTCCGGTTTCCCTGGATCATGTGAGCCTAAAATATTCAGCATTGTGAGAATTACTAGCAGTCAAAAATATCCACAGATGATTACAACATTGCACGGCGCGAATGATAAAAAATGCGCGGAAATATTTGACAATTGTATACTTCATCGCCATCCCCTGATGTTCTACACCAGACGGGAAGTATGCGTCCAAAATCACGAGCTTGCCTTAAGGGTAATTAGACTCAATAACACGAGCCATCGGCAGGACTGCATCAAACGAGAAATTTATTGTCCGTTATTAGGATTATTTTCTCCGATAATTGCCATTCATAATAATTC